AAAACTAATCAAGACTGTTATTCTATCTAGGTATCAATCGGGCTCTGTTGCCTGTGGTTGCGTCTGGGCTCAGTCGAAGACCCAGTGACAACAGAGATGGGGAAAATGTGAAGGTTTTTTTTCTCATCCGAGGCAATCTATCTCTCAAGTTTTACAGCATAATGCCACAATGGTGGGAGAGTACATGTACATGGAGTTTAGGCTTTATCAGTAATGCCCTTCTAGTACTCCACTAAAATTTTGTAAAGTGATTATAAAATGTATGTTTACAAGCCAAAAATGTTTTTAACAGTGATGACTACTACAGTGTAGATAAAGTTTGTAATTTGAAACAACGCCTCAAGAACTGTGATCAAGTTATAAAACTATAAATGTACCTTTTTCCTACAAGTTTCACTAAGATGGAAGTATTATTATTGAGTGATGTATCTATTTTATCTACTGTGATTGTATAAGAATCTGCAATTCTGGCATCTGGCTGCTGGCTGCAAATGATTTATCATCAATGAAACCTTTTAAAATAAATATATAAATACATACAAGTGAAAGGTATTCTGCTCACAATGTTGACAACCAGAAGGAGTTAACTCTAGATGTAAAATTATATTCTTTACGCCCTTCTGACTTTCAGCAGACGATGTAACATAATGCGATCATATTCATTCCATAACTTAACTTCAACCAACTAAATGAGTACAGAAATGAAATCCAAATACTTACATGAACACCTGGCTATTTTAGCTCTTCTTCTTATAATGGCCACAGCCAATTAGTGGGAATATTAGACTCACAGAAGAAGAAGAATAATATTTCATCTGTTAATGATCCAATCATGAGAATAAAATCCTGCAGAGATATACATACATATGCTGTATGTATATACACATGTATGTGAGTCTAAGGGTGAATGCCAATTAAAGTGGGTCAACGTGATTACCAGTCCAATATCATTCAAAAAACAAAATGATTTACAATGAAGCAAGTCCACATCTCGCTAATTTCTCCCTAAAATTAATGCGGGCGGAAAAATATTTAAAGACAAGAGTTGCGCAAATCAGAGACCATGTGCTTGACTGGACCACTGGAGTGTAGTCTTGGCCAACAAACAGAGGAGGAAGAACGGTTAAATGGATTCCTGACACACTGTACCATGACACAATTTGCTCTACACGGTTTGTCATTTCCTTAATCGGACTTCCTCCCTCTCTCCCCCTCTCCCGAAAATGGTGCCAAATTGAGAAGAGGGTTTGAAATAGGGAAACGGAGAGCTATTCAAGGGTAGTGAAAGAACGTCCACAGGAACCGGAGATTTCCCCATATGAGGATTCATTTCCAAGCGGTCCCACATGACTTCTTTTTGTAAGAACAACATTTATTCAATGCGCTCTTAATCAAAACATGATGACTGTGTTTGCTCTAATCAGCACTGATTTCTGGGTTATATCATAGTGTCCTCTTTTTTGTCACATGAGGAAGGGGGTGGGGGAAGGGGGTGGGGGAGGGGGTGGGGGAAGGGGGGTGGGGAAAGGGGGGGGGGAGTGGGGGAAGGGGTAAACCTCAGCTTGGTCTTTCAAGTATTCAACAGCTACATGTATTGTATTTGTGTGTATGTGTGCACAGCTGTGTTTATGTTTACAATCAGTCCTAATATATCTTTCTCAAAATCTGTTTCTAACAAGTTCTGAATTATTAAGATTAACTGTTGTAAAACTCCATGTAAAAGGGTTTGTACAGAACAAATAATAAAGGAAAAAAAAAGAAAAGAAAATTGCAGAGTAATTAAACATAAGAGGAAGAGTAAAAGACAGACAGACATAAATACACAAACAACAAAGAGGCAATGAGAATTGGAGAGACAGAGTAAGATAGAGAGAAATGGAAGAATTAAGACAGGGTGAGGGAAAAATGAACAGAAAGATAGAGGGGGAGTGAGAAGTGAAAGAGAGAAAAAGAGAGACAGAGAGAGACAGAGGGGAAGAGAGAGAGAGGAGGGGAAGTGATGGAGAAAAAGCATACATGATAGTACATAAAGTCTCATCATCAACACCACATACTGCTACAGACTTCTGCGGCAAATTTGTGCACGGACAACCTGCATCGGCACGCTCCGACGAAGAAAAGCAGGTCGGGACCCAACGAGGGCAGTGCACAGAAATGCGCATCTCCTCTCTGACTGGGAATCCATCCCGATGCATTTCATGAATTTGTAAATTGCGTTCACGCGGCCGGGGGCCACTCGCTCGCGGACGGGAATGCACCCCGAAGGTACGTCGACGGGAGCGAGCGAGGAGAGAAATTGGATTTCGGACGACGGGAGCTCCACGATGGTTTCCGATGGCTAGCCGAGCCCTGTGCTTGACAGCCTGATAAGTAGCAATACACACTAGAGTTGTGGTGTCGGTGTCCGAATCTATCCATCTTCTTCTGATACTCAAGAAGTCAAACTTTGTTATAGCAGATGCGTTGCACCGTGCTCAAAGAGCATGTCAAGGCCATTTTTCCATCTTCTTCTGATACTCAAGAAGTCAAACTTTGTTATAGCAGATGCGTTGCATCGCGCTCAAAGAGCATGTCAAGGCCATTTTTCCACAAAAAAAAAAATGTAGTGTTCGATGTCCTATGACCAAACATTACATAAATGCCAAGGTTACCATGTTTAACCCCTTCAATCCTATGTGTAGCGAATTCAGTTTGACTTGTTCACATTGTATACAGTTGCACAGCGCCCTCTTCGGGTTCATATTGTCATGTATTTTTGTGTGTACTGTATTCCCCTTTGAAAAATAAAATCACTATTTGTTATATCTCGCTATTTATGTATGTAAAATTGCATGGATTGGAAAAGAAGACCTGCAGGTAATAATTATTCAAGCTTTTTTTTCTTTTTTCGGCACCCATGTGACTCATTTCAATGGGCTTATACTACGTTAAAAATAATGCTGAAGTGTACATAAAATGGTAACATTATGTAAATGGTCCATTCTAGCTATGTTAGGTTGGTCAAGAAAGATAAAAACTTAACGTATTTGCCCAAAGTACATGTACAGTAAGCTTGATTTATGTTTTTTTTTTAGGTGATTTGTTCCTAATTAGATAATCATATTTATAGGTGGTAAGAATTAAACAATTAATTACTTAACCTAATTAAAGAAGGGGATATTGTTCAGTCATGCATTATATAATAGATCACGATTTGATAATCAAAGGTATAACAAGTAAATAATCTAAAAAACGAATCTGAAAATACATTTACTGTCATCAAGGGAAAACAAACATTTCCCTTTCAGACAGAATTTCTAATATTCAAATCAGTCCAATTTCATCCACGATATAGGCCTCTAAGCTTATTAAAAACAGGATGTACATGTAGGTAAATCTAGTCTGTGTTAACAAAAATAAAGGGAAAATTCCTCTTCAAATTGAACATTTCTTGTTTAAAGCTTCACTCTAACTTTCCACATTGTACATACATGTACATGTACATGTATATGAGCTTATATCTGACTTGCATTTCCCTCAAGTTGGCAAGGAATGATTTGCTGTAGTTCATAATTACATATTGTCTGTTCGGAGCCAGAAGGCTCATAACTCTGAGTTAAAGTATAGGAGTTAATGCCCTTCTGGCTCCAAACACGCAATAGTGCATGCGTTCGTAAGAAAGCCTGTACAGGACTTGACTACACAGGTCGATTAACCCTTTAGCAACTAAACTGCTCGAAACCACCCCTCCTTTTACTCAATGAAGCGCCCATCCTTCCGTTTTCAACACGCTATGATATCTGTTCTATGGGGTCTACCGTGTTACTTGTGTAATCCTTACGATGTCTACAGTAGGTTTCTGCATAGAAAAATAGCGTACGTTTCATATCGTTCAGGACAATGTCGAAATGAGAGCAATATTGCAACATTCAGTGAGTAATATACTAATAGGCCAAATCTCTAGTTGCTAATGGGTTAAGGGTATAACTTCTGCTGAGTGCTGAGTGCCAGAAGGGCATTGACTCTATGTACAATGAGATGCATTAACCCCTTGCCAATGGTTACCAGTTAGATCGTGTATCAAGCCTATGGGACTGACAACATTCGGCAGTGAACGGATTAATGCCCTATTAAAGTAGAAGTGTTGTGGTTGAGTGGTTTAAACAAAAATTCAAAGGTCTTGGGTTTGATCCCCGAAAGGGCACTAACGTCTTTTGGCAAGGCATTAATCTATATTTGCCAATGCATACCCAATGAGGACCTGGCAGGATGACGAAAGTCTCTGTGTCTTTGTGCCATATGCTCTCACGGTGACCATTTGGTTGAAAAACTCCCCAGGGAGTGGAGATGGTGCACATGGTGCATTAATGAATCTGATGTCCATGGTAATAATATCTGTTAAGCACTTAGAGACGGTATTTTGTATTAAGCGCTATACAAATCCAGATTATTATTCTGATTATTTGGCTCTGAACAGGCAATGGGATGTGAGACAGGGACTGGTCATCTTCTTTGTTTTAAGTGTTGGCTGTGAGCATGTATAAAGCCATAAATAGACCTAGTAAAAGTCAAGTGATACTTGACTACATAGATCCCATATGACCTTATCAACAACTCAAAGCAGCAAGGACAAAGTCAATGCAAGCATGGCAAGAGAAAGAGAGAGGAGAGATGGAGAGGGAGAGACGGAGAGGCGGAGAGGGGGAGAGAGAGGGGGAGAGAGAGGGGGAGAGAGAGGGGGAGAGAGAGGGGGAGGAAGAAGGAGAAGAAGGAGAAGAAGAAGAAGAAGGAGAAGAAGGAGAAGAAGGAGGAGAAGAAGGAGAAGAAGAAGAAGAAGAAGAAGAAGAAGAAGAAGAAGAAGAAGAAAGAGGAGGAGAAGAAGAAGAAATATACCCTCTAAAAGTCAAGAGACACTTAACTAACATGGTCCCATACAACTCAAAGCACAATAGACCAAACCAATGAAAGCATGGAAAGAGAAAAAGAGAGAGAGAAAAAAAAAATTGCAGAAATTGACTAACCTGGCCCTGCCAGGCCGGCATGACGGTATTCTCTGCTATCGTTGTGCGTTGCTGCTGATGTTGCTGGGTGTTGCTGTGATGGTTGTGGTGGTGGTGGTGGTCGTTGGTACGTTGTTGCTGCTGCTGCTGGTCTTTAGCTGGTCTTCTTGTCTGGATGTGGAACTTGATGTAAGGATGAGGGTTGAAGATGATCCCCTTCTTAAGACCTTCTGCTTTCACACCTGTTGCATACAGATTGTGAAGAAAGAGAGAGCGAGAGAGAGAGAGAGAGAGAGAGATAGAGAGAGAGAGGGGGGGGGGGGGGGGGAGAAAGAGAGAGAGAGATAGTAAGAGAGAGAGAAAGAGAAAGAGAGAAAGGCAGATGGAGAGAGATATAGAGAGCAAAATAGGGAGAGAGAAAAAAGGAAAATGAATAAGAGATAGTAGAGGAGAAAAGTGTGAAGATAGAGAGGACAGAAAAAGAAGAAAGAAAGGGGATGGAAATGAGAGACAGAGGGAGAGGGAGAAAGAATGATAAGACGTTAACCAGTATCAACAAATTAAATCTTCAATTCATAAATATAAACAACTAAGTCATATTAACCAATCTTCAATTCCTCTAAGAAAAGCTTCAATTCCTCTAAGAAAAGCTGCAATTCAAACCTGTTGAAACCAAAGACCTGCTCAACAGAGAAACGCTAAACCTCTGTTTCTCCCATCTCGTTCGCCTCCATTTAATAACCTCTCAGCTCACACTCAAAACCTATTTCTAGGACATTTTATGACGCTTCTTATTCTCAATTTTCAAAGCAGTGATCGTTTTCTTCATCGATCTCGGCTAAATTTGCTAGACGACTACGATTCGGATGAGTCATAGCCGCATACATTATCCCATCTGAAGGCAAGGTCCTAAAAGATAAAGTCAAATACTGGTCCTACACAGTGCAAGGTTGTAATCGATTGGGAAATGGTTGATTTTTATTTTGTAGTACACACGAATTGATGTAAACTTTGAGGTTTTGAAATGATCAAAACAAAAAGAAAATAACTCATTCTTGCTGAAGATCGCATGCAGTGCACACAGAAATCAGTAAATGGGAATACATATGAATGTTTAAACTTATCTGCTACTTCTTGTGATATTTTGAGTTTGAAGGCATATCAAGAGCAATTCTTTTCAGGAAATATTTAGGAAACATATAAACTATGACTTCCAACTGACAATAGGCAAGCTTCATCAGAACCCAATCTCCTCTTTAAAGGTGCATGTACATGTACCAGGAGACATCCACATCCATAATTGGTAAACACTGAGATCATCGATGACATCATTATTAGTGATAAAAAGGAATTAAAGGGAATGTAAGCAGTATTTTTGGTAGTCAGTGTACTTACAATGTAACTCACAGAAGTACATGTATAATTTTGTTATAATAATTTGGTTGTCTAAACATTAGATTGCGAGACGATGCATAAAATAATGTGTTTCATTGATCTATGCAAGCACCATATAGAGTATTACAAAAAATGGATTCTTAAATAAAAAGGCTCAGCACTAGAATTCAACAGCATATAACGTATTTGCCGGCGTACAGGCCGCAGTATACAGTACCAACAGGTGGCTATCAAAAGATGAGGTGCCAACCTACAGATGAGTACACAGTGATGTCATCTTAATATGGATGAATAATGATTACTATACTGCCATCTCCTGTGGAAACTCCTAAACTAAATGATGCAATTGCAATATAAACAGACAGCTGTCAGCCCTCACTATTTTTTGTAGCCATTTGCGGCATGTCTTACTCCAAGGCAACAGAATGGTGCCTTATCCAGCGCTATATATTCCACAAATTTCCTGACCTGTATCTAACCCCAGTACTGGATAAGAGCTGGGGCAGCCCTGTTGAATGTACACAATGATGTAAGCACACACATGTCGGCTGCTCAAAGGAACATCCTTGTGGCGTTTTTTACTCTCTAAGTACTCTCAAAGATCTGCAAATATGGACAGTTTTCTACATTTATCCCATTAATAAGGGCAATAAGTTGTAGATTTTAAATTATGTCATTTTGATCACGATGCTAACTAGAAGAGGCTTCAATTGCTGTTCAAGACCTAGTATTAAGTGCCGATCTTTACCGGTCACAACTATTGTCCGCTTAGAGCCAGAAAGGAGCTAACTCTGTGCTGAAGTATAGGAGTTAATGTCATTCTCGCTCCAAACAGACGGTACAGATCTCGAGCTTATATCAGATCAAATATGGAGTGAAATTAAACAATTGATATCAATTCACGTTCATATCTCCATAACATTTGGAAACATATGGGACAAACTAAATGGCCAAATATGTTGATTGGCCTATAAGATGAAAATCAGTCAAACAGGTCTGCTTTAGCGATCCCCTGTATAGAAAGACCATCTGTCCATACATCCAAATTCTTTGTTTCCCTTGAAAGTGGTTTCTCATTGAAGCATATACATACGGAACCTGTACATAGAGACCACCTGCCTGTAAAGACCACTTTTCTTGTCTCCTTAGAGCGGTTTTTATATACAAGTTTCCAGGGAAAAAAATACACGAGGGCTAGGGGGGAATTAGCCCCCGAAATGCCCAAAAGAGCTTCCGAAAGTCAATAAAGAGCCCCCCGAAATTTGCATAGAGTTCAATGCAAAACAAATTTTCCCTGCAGGTTTCACTGTATCAAAATTATATTTTCAGGCAACCAGTATTATATATATAGCATTCTAGTTATGGCTAGATTCTCACACACAGTTATGGCTGGTGTATGTTTAGCTCCATGGTAATTACTGTACATAATGTACATTTCTCTGAAGATTACATTATGTAGATACTGGAACCCTAAAATTTGGCTGTTGACATTTAGATTATAAGCTGAAGGGAAAGTTGTTAGCAGGGAATTTATCAGAATCTTTGTGCTCTGGGTATAAAGGATTGTTTTGAGCAACCAGCTGTGAGGCAAAAAGGCAATAACTCCACATTAAAGAATGCGAGTGAATGTCCATTTGGCTCTCTAATCAGGCATTCTAATGTCTGCCATATTAATTTGTACTAATCATTTTCACCCTCAGAAAAATAATTTCTCAAAAAAAAAAAATCCTCATTTTTCATCCCCGGATTCAACAACTTATCTTAATCATCGTGGAGACATTCTACATCTCCTCATTTCCATTATAAATTACCTCTTTTGCAAAACGTAAAAAATAGGCGGTGTCACACAGAGGCCAAAAATCCGGATTTTAGTTATCCAGATTTTAATAATCCTCTTAATTGCTGTCTATCATCATTTATCCCATTGAAAATCCTCTCATCGAAGCAAGAAAATTCTCCCTTAAAGGTAATACAAAGTTTTGGTATGGGGTCATGAATTTGGTTCAAATGAACATATTGGAAGCTTATGCGACTCTACAATATTCAGTGATCGTTGTCGCGGTTGAAATCGATTCTAAAGTTATGAAATTATAAATAATAAACTCTTTATGTTGTATAGCTCCCTCTCAAGGTCAAGATATTAATTAAGCTATAAAACAATGTATGTTGTTTACATACATACATACATATAAAACAATGTTTCTTGACTAACGTCGACCGATTAGCTATTCCCGTTTGGAAATTATATATCACAACTACATATTCTGAAATTTTCATGGTCGCAGCTACCATTGTACGGCCGTACGGCGCTATTTGAAATTTATCAGAATTTACCGGGAGCACGGGTAAATTTTTATATTCAATTTTTCTCGAAAGCAGAAGTGTTTTAGGGGCTAAATTTTCTAGTGCTTATGTTACATCCACAGGGGCATCCAAATATATCAAAATTGAAAAGAATCACCACCATCTAATTTTCAAAAATTCCCAAAACTTTGTATTACCTTTAAAGGATTTTTCAAGGGATTTTTTAAGGGATTTTTCTGTGTGACACCTCCTATTGTGAATTTTTCATTTCTTCACCTTTTATAGCCCAACGCATACATACTTCACGATCTGACTACAATTTGAATTGGAAAAATTTGTATTAACATTTGATGCCAACATTCAAACATGTAGTATTGTAATATAATCAAGGATCTCAATAGTCAACGATTGACAAAATCTAAATTTCAAGCGATTTCATGCTTCCTTAGAGGCGGTAAAGCTTAATTGGCTCAGAAACATAATGACATCAGGCCAGTAGTGTGATTTTCGAAGCTGATTCAGCCTTTATTCTGACTATTAAAGAGTTTAATGCACCAAACCTTCAGTTGTTAGTACTCTCATGATTGTTGAGAACCTAAATCTGGAATATGATGTTTGTTTAGATTTCTATATCTAGTATAACTGCCATTTCTTCATAAATAGGATCGCAGGAAGATTGTAGAATGTGCAGAAAGCTTTAGTTTGCTTCAAATGTGGTTTGATGATGTTGTTACTACCGGTACTCATGATAAACAGTTACCATGGAAATGAACATTGTGACATAAATGTTCAGACACAAATGGAGAAAGTAATAATATGTGTAACTTGTAAATCAAACTCTCAGTTTTGAAATTACCGAAAAAGAAGATAACATTAGTCTTACCTAAAATTCAGGGATCCACTGGTGATTTTCAGCTATTTAGTTAAGTTAAATAATGTATTGTGTGTGTGGAGCCGGAAGAGCATTAACTATATGGTGTGTATGTACTTTAACACAGAGTTAACATCCTTCTGAATAGATGATATATCAAACAAAGCATCCACATCCAAGACCATTCACTTACTCGTCTCCTCCGATCAAAGCACACGAAAGAATATTATAGGAATTGAAAGAAGTCCTGCTCACAATTCATTTATACTTCATAAGTGTATGTACCAGTATGCACGATCTCCTCTGTGTCTTTATCCAAATAATCATCATCCTCTTTATGGTAAGCACACTTTGTACTCAAACAAAGCGAAACAAATGAATGGAATTTTCCATGAAGGAAACTGTTCGATGTTCTTATCATCCGCACTTGAAGATATATCATTACATGAGTTGTACATCAATTAACATGAATACAGCATTTAGACATTGAACCTAAGTGTCAATAATGACTACCGTTACACTTGTTTACTAACCTGTAATTAAAGGAATTATGAATTGTTTACCGTAATCCTTAATTTCTTTCATAGATATTCCCGCCTCTTTGTGTGGGTGTGGTTGATCTTTCTTTTTAATAATTGATACAGTAAATGCAATGCTTTCTTACCAGGAGTT